TCCTCCACATGTGAAACCCCCATGCTCCTCCTCCTCGTTGTTGTCCTCCTCCACATGTGAAACCCCCATGCTCCTCCTCCGGCTGTTCATGGTGACTGTGGGCTCCTGCCCGGGTACGACAGTCTGGTTAGCTCGGCTCTCACCCCCACCACCCCACCTGCTCCAGTATCTCCATCACCACTGGCTTCATGTGCTTCAATTCTCGGTTGTTGAGTTGAACAATGAGAAGACTTTTTGTTTACCAAAGTAAATTGGACGATCTTTTCAACGTCTTGATCGCTGTTATTTTGACAAAAATAATGGGTGATCACGTTACATGATGCACAATCACCCAACAAACATTTCTCTCATATTTTTAATAAATAATCAAAATTTTATTAATGACCCACTTAAACTGTCAAACTGATTTATAATTTAGTTGTTCTGTTTAATTATATTTTTGTGATTTTAATTAAATTGCCCATGACTGAACTTTTAGGGGTGGAGATTTTTTTGTAAGGGTTGAAGCAGAAATGCTTACTTGAAGGAGCAGCTCTGATGTGATATTAAGAAGCTCGTAAGTGGCTGTTATGTTTAAAATGAGTGTTTATGTAATTATTTTCAGATTACATATCCAGTATAGATTTTATTTGTTCAAGGCAATCACATTTGTTCATAACTTAATTATCAGTAAGCCTGAGCGTTACTGGATCCCAGCAAACAGTTACCGGAATGCACCCTGTCAAAATAAGAGCGTTCCCGGATCCTGTTCCGGTAAGATCCGGCTCAAATTAAGCCCTGCTTTAAGCTATACAAAGAGACAAGCCCACACATTTATTTGTAGACTGGACTTTTGTAATTTCACATAAAGAAGCTCCAAAACATTGAAAACATACACAAATGATCTGAAACATAAGAAAGATTGTAATGTAATCAGCAGACATCACATTATGATGGTTTTATCCTCTTGTGACTACTTCCCTTTTATTGCCTGTCCATATAATTATTTTACTGTTCCCACAGTCAAAAGCTGATATTAAATTATAGACTTCCTTATTTTGTCAAAACATTCTTTTGAAAAAACAAGAAAAATTACCTACAAGATACAAAAAAGTGTTGAAGACTGACATAACCCTAAATTGTAAAACTTTACAGTTTACATCAGGATGGTTGACAAAATCATAAACATCAGAGAACGGACCATGAACCAACGAGAACAAACGGATCAAATTATCTTAATTTAACCGAAAACAGACTTTTCCACACGCTGCGTATTTTGGACAACTTCAGGCCGTACATTAACGGGTTAAAAAGAGGCTGACATGTCATAAAATACAAGGATAAAAGTATTTTTACAAAGTTTGGAACATTGTTCACGTCAAGCCTGCTCTGCAAGACGTCGAAACAAATTCCAAAAGAAAAGTTGAGCAGAGAGGCGAGGTGAGGCGTGCATGTGCTCACAGCTTTCTGTCGGGTCTGCTTAGAGCCGGAGAAGCAGACTTTAAGAATCCTGACGTACGTGTAAATAATTAATGCAACAATAATAAAAATAACTGGGTAAACAGAAATAAGCCCATAGACATTATTGATCGTAGTATCAGAGCAGGCCAGTTGAACAATGGAGTAGTTGATGCAGAAAACCTTGTTAATGATGTTTCCACACAGCTGCAGAGAGAAACTCAGAGATATTACCGTAACAACGCCAGAAAATGCACCGAACCACACCACTGCAATGAGAACGGCAACTTTGTTGACTGCCATTCGATTGTTGTACTGTAGAGGATGACAAATGGACAGATATCGATCATAAGACATCACGGCTAAGTTCAAAAACTCTACAGAAAAGTACGTATGAACACAGTAGACCTGCAGGAAACAGAGCGGAACAGAAATGACGTGAACGTCCGACAGAACCTGGACCAGCAGGAACGGAAACAAGCCTGAGCTTCCGTACAGCTCATTCACAAACAGGCTGCACAGAAACATGTACATGGGTTCATGCAGACTCCTGCTCACACAGATGACCACGATCAGCAGAACGTTGCAGACAAGTATTAAAATATACAAACACACGATGATCAGAAAGATGAAATATTTCAACATCTTGGTATCAAAGTAAGCACTAAAGATGAAATATGAAACTCGTGTTGAATTCAACATCACCTGTTTTCGACGTCTAAACACAGCTTTAAGAATAAACACATCAAATACTCGGTAGGTTTTTGAAAAGGTTTGTGCAGCTATTCTGAGTTGCGATATTTGTGAGAGTTTAGCTGAAGCATCAACACAAACTGCAACAGGCTCGTCCAAAGTAAACTCGTACAGACATGTTTGAGACAAACTCCTTTCAGTACACTCAGGAGAAAAGTTCAGAGCATGATGTGAAAGGCACCGGGGGTTCATGTGAACTGAGGATTTAATCTGCAACCGCTGTTTTTAAACCTTTCAGTTTCCTCAAGCAGCACGATGATGTCACCGATGAAGAACTATTTTTAGAACCAGGTTAAATGTTTTTTTTGTTTTTTTTTATAAATTACAAGATTAATTTAGAAACCAGCCACAAGTCCGTGTATCTCTTGTGCAGGTCCCCAGCCTGGATGAACGGTGAGAGTTGTGTCTGGAAGGGCATCCGACGTAAAACACTTTTATCAAAACTATAATGTGAGTTCATCAAAGTGAAACAAGATTAACGAGTGTGAAGCGGCTGAGATGAGAACCAGCTCCTCCAAATCTGAGGCCATGGTCCTCAGTCAGAAAAGGATGGATTGTTCTCTTGAGGTCGAGGGTGAGGTTCTGCCTCAAGTGGAAGAGTTCAAGTGTCTCTGGGTTTTGTTCAAGAGTGAGGAAAGAATGGAGCGTGAGATTGACAGATGGATTGGTGCAGCATTTGCAGTATTGTGGACTCTGTGCCGGTCCATTGTGGTGAAGAGGGAACTGAGCTGTAAGGCAAAGTTCTCTATTTGCCGGTCGGTCTACGTTCCTCCCCTCACCTCTGGTCATGAACTCTGGGTTAGAGTTGCATTCATTTTAGCATGCTAGCTCCAGAAACGAATAAACAAACAAACTCACCAGGTCCCACTTTTAGAATACACAGTCAGCTGAAGTTTTTTCACAAACAGACATCTAAAAGTTGAGAGGCATGTCAGTCAGAAGTTAGATAAAGGGCTTTCAATGGCTTAAAGCCTACCTGCAGCAGCTAGCCTCTCACACACATAGCCTGGTTGAGAGTGTCACTGCACAATCTGTTCCGGGACTGGAAGCACGATCTGTACCGTGCACTCGTACTCTGGGCGCAGAAGAGTTGCGCCCAGAATAGTCCTATTTTTTGTAATGAAGACGAGTTACTGCACATGTACAACTTTTAACAAGAGTCTATGGGCAAAGATTCTTGTACCCCAGGGCGGAAATACGTCAACAATCAGAGACAACATTTTTGAAAGAAACAACTTTACTCTTCATTAACTATAAAATATTTATCTTACACAACTACAAAAATATATACATATATTTTGAATTATTTTTATTTTATTCTTTAATTGTTATTAACTTTTTTATGTCTTCAAGGTAATATGGTGAGTGGTGGGGCGATATCCTAGTGCCCTCTATTGGCCAGCTGCCACTGATAGAGGAAATGAGGCCACAGTGTTGTGTTGTAAAGAGCTTTGAGTGTCTTGATAAGATAGAAAGGTGTACAGTCCATTTACCATTTATTACAGATGCAGCTTCCAGGAGCTGTGGCTTCAAAGCTGTTGGTGCACAGCAATCAGAGGACCCATTCTGAGAACAAGGGTCAGTAAAAAAAAAAAAAAAACACTTTACAGATCTCCTTAAACTGTATGTCATGTCCATAATTGAAGAGGTTGAGTCCGAGGACTTTAGGGAAGGTGAGTCCATTCCCCTGGTTCTGGTTGATGCAATAAAAAGCTCAGTGGGACGAGGAGGCCTGAGATACTTTGGTACAATTTTTGGCTGTCCTTTAAATGAGCAATGCTTTAAAATCTAAAATGCTGTAAATTTATATTGTACCAGGACATGACTTTGCAGCCTTCACAACTTTATAATAAATCACAAATAAAATATACTATAATTACATTTTCTAATGAAAAAACTATTTTATACTGTTCCCCTTCTGTTTATTTGTCAGAGAACATTGTTCAAGACCACTTCTTTATTTGATAGCAAGTATTTTCTCTGATGAAATATATTAACTCCATCCATTTTCTTCCGCTTATCCGGGGTCGGGTCGAGGGGGTAGCAGCTTAAGTAGGGAGGCCAGACTTCCCGCTCCCCAGCCACCTCCAAAGGGATGCCTCCAGGAGGCATCTCGATCAGATTCCTGAACCACCTCAACTGACTTCTTTCAATGCAGAGGAGCAGCAGCCCTACTCTCAGCTCCCCCCGTCTGACGAAGCTCCTCACGCTACCTCTAAGGCTGAGCCCATCCTATGAAGGAAGCTCATTTTGGCTGCTTGTATCTGGGATCTCTTCTTTCAGTCATGATCCAAACCTCATGACCACAGGTGAGAGTTGCAACACAGACCAGTAGATGCAGATCGTTGCCTTTCCACTCAGCTCCTTCTTCACCATGAACGACCGAAGCAACTCCCTTATTACTGAAGATGGGCCCCAATCTGTCTGTCCATCTCCTGCTCCATCCTACCATCACTCATGAACAAGAAGCCCAGATTCTTAAACTCCTCCACCCGAGGCAACAATAATCCACCCAGAGGATCGTGTTAAAGGCCGACACAGCAGCCCTACATTGTAAAGCTCAAAGTAAACTTCAGATATTTGGTGTAACAAGTCAAAAACATGGGAGGACTGACCATCAGTCAACAAGAACAAACTGATTATTTTATTTCCACTTGAAATAAAATATTCTTTTCCACACGCTGCGTATTTTGGACATTTTCAAGCCATAGATTAAAGCGTTAAAAAGAGGCTGACATGTCAGAAAATACAACGATAAAAGTATTCTTACAATATTCGGAACACTGTTCATGTCAAACCTGCTCTGCAAGACGTCAAAACAAAGACCAAAAGTGAAGTTGAGCAGAGAGGCAAGGTGAGGCGTGCACGTGCTGAGCGCTTTCTGTCGGGTCTGCTTAGAGCCGGAGAAGCAGACTTTAAGAATCCTGACGTACGTGTAGAAAATTAAACCGACTATCATAAATACACCAAAAGCAGTGGCAACAATTCCATATATATTATTTGTGGTTGTGTTGGAGCAGGCCAGTTTAACAACAGAGTAGTTGTCACAGTAGACTTTGTTAATGATGTTTCCACACAGCTGCAGAGAGAAGCTCATAGATAAAGCAGTTAGAACTTGAACAAGTGCACCGAGCCACACGGCTGCAACTAGAACGGCAACTGTTTTCATTGTCATCTGAGTCTTGTATCGTAGAGGATGACAGATGGCGACATATCTGTCATAAGACATGACTGCCAAGTTAGATAGTTCTACAGAAAAGTAAGTACTAACACAAAATATCTGCAGGAAACAAAGTGGAATGGAAACAGTGTGAACGTCCGACAGAATCTGAATCAACAAAAACAAAAACAAGCCTGAGCTTCCGTACAGCTCATTCACAAACAGGCTGCACAGAAACATGTACATGGGTTCATGCAGACTCCTGCTCACACAGATGACCACGATCAGCAGAACGTTGCAGCCAACGATCAGAACATACAGACACATGATGAGCACAAAGAATAAATACTTCAACACCCTGACATCAAAGTAAGCATTAAGAATAAAATATGAAACCCGTGTTGAATTCAACATGATCTTCGTTTTCTGCAAAAACAAATAAAGTTTGCGCCGCTAATTTAAACGTTGATCCCTGTCAGAGTTCAGCTGCAGCATCAGCACACAGCCACATGTTTGTTCAGTGTAAACTAGTAAAGACTTATTAGAAATAAACACTTTTCCACGCTCATTTCTAAAGTAGGCCGTTCAGGTTCAGGACGTGAAGAACAGTGAGTTCATGCGAACTGAAGATTTCTTCTGCCTCTGCTGCTTTTAATAGTTTCAGTTTCCTCCCACATCAACGCTGATGCTATTATTTTAAAGGTTTCTATTTGTTCTGAGCATAAAGTCATAATGATATTATTAGTTCAACTCTGCTCAGCTTAAAAAAAAAAACGACTTCACACAGAAGAAACTGTGCAGAACATCAAAGTTCATGCTCGGGTAGAATGACCCCACAAAGTTAAGTCAGGTCCTCTGGACGGTTTCATTTTGATGAAACGTTTCATATTTTACGTTTCTTCATCTGAGCACCATCAAACTGGTTGACCCAGTATGTCAAGGTGCTATTTGTAAGACTGAGTTTGTTGTGGCTCCTCGGACTGAAGACGAAACGTTTCAACAAAAATAAACTGTCCTGATGACCTGACTTAACTTTGTTGGATGTACAGGTGCTGGTCATAAAATTAGAACATCACAAAAAAGTTGATTTATTTCAATAATTCCATTCAAAAAGTGAAACTTGTATATTATATTCATTCATTACACACAGACTGATATATTTCAAAATGTTTGTTTCTTTTAATGTTGATGATTATAACCGACAACTAATGAAAACCACAAATTCAGTATCTCAGGAAATTAGAATATTGTGAAAAGGTTCAATACTGAAGACACCTGGTGCCACACGCTAATCAGCTGATTAACTCAAAACACCTGCAAAGACCTTTAAATGGTCTCGGTCTAGTTCTGTAGCTACACAATCATGGGGAAGACTGCTGACTTGACAGTTGTCCAAAAGACGACCATTGACACCTTGCACAAGGAGGCAAGACACAAAAGGTCATTGCTAAAGAGGCTGGCTGTTCATAGAGCTCTGTGTCCAAGCACAGTAATAAAGAGAGGAGAAGGGAAGGAAATGATGTGGTAGAAAAAAAGTGTACAAGCAACAGGGATAACCGCACCCTGGAGAGGATGGTGAAACAAAACCCATTCAAAATGTGGAGGAGATTCACCTGATGGACAAACTACTCACACTAGGACTAAGCCCTTCCATTTACAACTGGGTCCTGGACTTCTTAACAAACAGACCACAGTTAGTGAGGATCTGCAACTTCTCCTCCTCCACCATAACTGTCAGCACTGACTCCCCCCAGGGCTGTGTGTTGAGCCCCCTCCTGTTCACGCTGCTCACATATGATTGTGCAGCTACCCATCCAGGCTGTAACATTGTAAAGTTTGCAGATGATACAGCGGTGGTGGGATGCATCACAAACAATGATGAGTCCAGCTACAGGCAGGAGGTGGAACACCTGGAGAGCTGGTCCAAAGAGAATAACCTTCACATCAATGTGAAGAAGACAAAGGTGATGACTGTGGACTTCAGAAGGAAGAAACACACCTACACCCCCCTGAACATAAGAGGATATGTGCTGGAAGTGGTCTCCAGCTACAAGTACTTGGGTGTACACCTGAACAACAACCTCAGCTGGAGCAACAACACCACCAGCCTGATGAAGAAAGCTCATCAGAGACTCTACTTCCTCAGGCGGCTGAGGCGAGCTGGTCTGGGAAGCTCAGTCCTCACCTCCTTCTACAGGTGTGCAGTGGAGAGCATCCTGTGCTCCAGCATCAACGTGTGGCATGGAGGCTGCACAGCTGCAGAAAGAAAAGCTTTGCAGAGAGTGGTGAAGGCTGCACAGAAGATGTTGGAGTCAGCCAGACGTCTACACCTCCAGATGCAGGAAGAGGGTCACCTGCATCATGAAGGACCCCACTCACCCAGCACAAACTTTTTGCCCTGCTCCCTACAGGAAGGAGGTTGAGAAGCATTATGTGTAGAACCACTAGACTGAGGAAAAGCTTCTACCCTGAGGCTGTTAGACTCATGAATCTCTAACCAGAATAACCACTGTGAAAAATCACATCATGTTGCTGCTGATCTGTTTCATGTTGCTGCTGATCTGTTTCTTGTTGATGTGTTCATGCGTGCTCATCTGCTCACACAGACTCATGTTCGTGCTGCTGTTCGACGTAATGTTTTTATACTATTAGTGCTTACTGTATATTTAGTTGATGGTTTTCTTAGTTCATATCTTAGATCTTATCACTGTTTTTATTTTACATTTTATTGTTAGGTGTAACTGGGACCCTGTGAACATAATCTCGTTCCACCACATGTACCATATGTGGTGGAACGACAAATCTCTCTGACTCTGACTATGATTTCACCACATGTGGTACATGAGGTGGAATGAAATTATGTACACAGGGTCCCAGTTACACCCAACAAAAGCAAAAATATAAAGTGCAAAAAGAAACTGAACATAAGGATCTAAAATATACACTAAGATTTAACTTACTTAAATAAAAGAACCACACTTGATGGTAGGAAAAGATTTTTAACCGGAATTTACTTGCAAGGACAGATGTTCAGGACAGGTTACACAGACATACAGGAAGTACACACAGATATACAAGAAGTACACACAGATATACATGAAGTACACACATATATACAGGAAGTACACACATATATAGAGGAAGTACACACAGATATACAGGAAGTACACACAGATATACAAGAAGTACACACAGATATACAGGAAGTACACGCATATATACAGAAAGTACATACATATATACAGGAAGTACATACAGATATGCAGGAAGTACACAAATGAAGACCAGTCATGAGAATCTGGTACAGGCTGTGTGTGTGTGAATCTTGTTTTTCTATACTTATCAGTTCATTTGAGCTCCATGGAGCGACAGCTGCATGCTGCAGCCTCACCCAGCTCTTCACCCAGCGCTCTGCTAACCCAAACATAATTCATGGGCAGAGTTAACATTCTCAGCCATAGTAATAAAAACATCCTTAAACTTTGACCAAAAATTCCCCAACAGCTATTTGTTTGTTTGGCTAAGCTGGCACAGAGTGACGGATCCTGGAAAGCAAAGGGAGTGATTTGAAGGTCCGGGGTTCAATCCAGGGTTGGATCTGGGGTCTTTCTGTGTGCAGTTTGCATGTTCTTCTTGTGCTGGGTGGGTTTTCTCCAGTTTCCTCCCACAGACCAAAGACATGCACGTTAGGCTGATTGGTAACTCTAAATTGTCCCTAGGTGTGAGTGGGAGAGTGAATGGTTGTTTGTCTCTATGTGTCCCTGTGATGGACTTGCGACCTGTCCAGGGTGTACCCTGCCCCTCGCACAGTGATTGCTGGACATGGGCACCGGCGATCCCCGTGACCCAAATTGGAAGAAGCGAGCTGCCACCTTACCATGGTGGAGGGGTTTGAGTGTCCCAATGATCCTAGGAGCTATGCCGTCAGGGGCTTCACGCACCTAGTAGGGTCACCCAAGGCAGACAGGTCCTAGGTGAGGGACCAGACACAGTGCAGCCCAACCACCCCTATGATGAGAAAAAGAAATGGACT